GTGCGTAGCGCCCACATCTGCCACTCATCGAGTCAGCCACAAATGTCGACAAACATCCTTCACTCTGCATACACTACGGCCGTAAATAGTTTAATAGCTTTTTCTATAACAGCTTTAAGAGCTGTCCTACATCTACACGAATGCGAAATATAATAGATTATTATAGGCATCTAAATATGTATATAAATGAAATGTCAAATGTTTATGAAATATGAATCGGATGAGAAGTTTTTTACATATTCTAGAAGAATATAAAGGTATATTTATTTTCTGCCTATTTCATATGCATATAAACTCTTTGGATATATCGATAACTTCTGCAAATATCGATAACTTATCGCGCATATATTATTCTTTCCGCAGACTGATTTATTTACTCTTTCTTGGTTTTTATGATGCGTTTGCAACGATTTGGCTTAATAGAAATTTTTGCTTTATTTCAATGAGTTTTGGTAAATGATTTTGCTTCGAATTGAATTCGATTTTTCTTCGTTTGATTTTTTTTTCTCCCCGTTTGGGGTCAGCGCAGCCCACTCAATGCCACGCCCACTACAATTGGTGGTTGGCAGTTGGCTGAAATTGTTTAGCTTATATTAGCTTCCTCCACCGGTTTTTGGCTTGGTATCATAAAAAGTTCATTCGCTAAATGGCAAATGTGGTTGCTTGCTGACCTAGCGAACCGTCCGCCCAGCCTGCCCCACCACCCACTCCACCCATGTGTGTGGATGTGAGTGTGTTTGTGTGTGTATGAGTTTTGCGGTTGCCGCTTCAATTTTGTTTATATTTTGGCTTATTTTTATTGGCTACTCTTTGCTGTGGCTCCTTCAGTTGTTGTTGTTGTTATTGTTGTTGCCTTTGGCATTGTTTAGCTCTAGCTGTTTTCTTTGATTGCCTGCTCTGGTTAAATTGATTTGCATTTGTTGTTGTTGCTGCTGCTGCTGCTGCTGCTGCTGCGGCTCCTGCTCCTCCTACTGCTACTGTCTGTGTATTGTACAACAAAAATTGAAGATCTTTCGATAATTGAAAATTGTATTTGTTTGCTCGCAGCTGAACTATGCTTACCAAATGAACTCGAAGCTCTCTTTGGGGGAGGGAGCGCATATCGAGCCAATCGCCGAAGCCAGTGCAGCAACAGTCGCAGCTTAATAAGCTAGTGGCTGATTTCAAAAGAGAACTGAGAAGAATAAAATAATAGAAGTTGAAAGCAGCATGAATATATTTAATATTTTAAGTCTTGTCTTTTAGTTTATTCAAGTTGCATTCGTAAATAAGTTTGTAACAGTCAAGCAGTGTTGGTATAGGGTTATAGGTAATATAAACATTTTTCCTCTGAGTATGGGTCATAGCTCTTTATCTTTCTCTCTAGTTCTCTGCCTTTGCCCTCAGCACTTCTCTCTTTTTAACTTCGTTCCACCTTCCGATCTAACCTATCTCGTTTTCGGTCGTTGATTCTGTCGCTCTCATTTTTCTCTCTCTCCCCCTCTAGTTCTCTGCCATTGTTCTCTGTCTTTCTCTCTCTATCTCTATCTTTCTCAGTCTTTGTTCTTCCGTTGCTTCTCCCACTCAATCCATGCTCGATCTTCTAAATATTCTCCCTCGCTCTGCTCATCTTTAATTCCCTTTCGCTTGCGAGTTTTCTGCTCTGTTCTCTGTCTCTCTCTCTCTTAATTTCCCTTAAAGCTCTCCCCTACTTTTAAATCGTGATAATCTTTCAATTCTTTTCCCCATAACTTCCGCTTACAATTTCTCTGATATGCACTATTGACCATTTAGAGAACCGTTAAACATTCACAATGACACTCAACTGCAATCCGTAATCAGATGCTGTCAGTCGTGGAGTTTTCTCTCTGCTCCGTTCTGCTCGGCTCTGCTCTGTGCTATGTCCGTCTGCTCATTTGCATCATTTTGCGGGCATTACAAAGTTAATGACAAAACTTGTCCAACGTCTCCGCTTTCGAGTGCAGCACAGCGAATGATTGACCAAAACCGATGCAGGCAATGAGGACACTCGAACAGCAGCAGCAGCAGCAGCAACAACAACAACTACAACATTGAGGACAACGGCGACGATGACTGTTTGATGAACAGAACAATACAGTGAGCACTGAACTGGACAATGGCATGTTCTTCTCGTAAATACATATGTGTGTGTGTTGGTATATATATATGTGTGTGGAGTCCTGCATATCCTGCTTGCATATGTAACTGTTGGCACATCCGCGCCGCCACGCCTTCGTCTCTCGCTAGCCCCAACTCCAAGTCTGTGCGCTCTGTCCAGCTGAATGACCAAAAGCGGGCGAACGTGAAGTTGCGCTGTGCAAATAGGGAAAAGCAGCTGCAGTTGCCAAGTGGAAAATTTAATTACATGCAAATACCGTTAACTGTTAGAGCGAGCATGTGGCTGTGTAAGTAAGCGTGTGTGTGTGTTTGTGTGTTTTTGGTAGACTCCCTGGTGTCCTCTGCAGGACAATACTCAACTGTTCTGTTATTGTTGTTTCCCTGCTTAGTCGACTTGGCATGCCGCAGTCAGTCGCTTGTTTTGTTCAACTGCAGTTGTTGCTGTTGTTTGTTGTTTTTTTTTTATTTTTTATTTTTAGCTATTTCCGCAATTGTGCATATAAAAATATGCATTTAAAGCGGACTTCTTTAACAGTTTAATTGTTGTTAATTTTTCTGCATCGGAAGATGGCAAATTCGCTAGCAATGCGCCACAAATTGTTGTTGCTTTTGTTCGTTTAGCTGAGTGCACATCGTCAGCCCTCTGTGCACGCCCCATTCCCAGAAGGGAGGGGCGGCAGCAAGTTTTGTACAAACTTTGATTTTTGTCCCACCGCCCGAAAATCACAAAGTTGTTTATTTGCCAGCCACGAGATGTCCGTTGTGTTGCTGTTTGTCTGTCCTCTATTGTCTCAATGTGGATGGGGATTTGCATTTGCAACTGTTTTGCACATTGTTGTTGTTGCTGTTGTTGTTGTTGTTGTCATTTAGTTTTTGGCCTTCATCATGTTGGCAGCAACAGCAAATTGGATTGCCATTTGAAGTTGCCATAACAAACTAACCAAAATAACTAGACTGTTGGGCGCATATAAATGAGCTTTAACTGGCCGTAGCTCTCTCATGATATAACTACATGTTTATTTATTTTTAGACAATATAATATCATTGATTTGCCAAATAATTTATTCAGATTTTGCATTTATATTGATTATTTTCCACTTTAGAGAGCTCAAACCTCAAACCTATTTAATGCCTTAGCCAAAGTTAGTCTGAAATACGCTTCAGATTTTATTTACACAATTCCTAAACTCTTTTGGCTTTCAAGTTTTTCCATTCTGCTAATTAATTCAAGCTTAAGTTCTTATCGAAACGCGACTCACAAATCATAAATTGCACAACAACTGGCACAGCTTTCGGAATTCGTTTTCCAGTTAAATCCTCTGCCAGCACACACACACATACACACGCGGCGTATGCGTAATATTTTTGTTGAAATCAACTCGCATTTTGGTGTTTGCTGTTGGCTCAGCTGGAAATGAAATTGCAGTTTGCTATCGATTTRCATTTTTAGCTCTTGGCTTGCATTTCACATGCAACAAAGGCAAACATAAGCCAGGCCACGCCCACGCCGTGTGCATCGCTGTGTGTATATGTGTGTGTGTGTGGGGCGTAAGCCGCTCAATCAATTAGTCAAAAGTTCATATTTTACGCCCAAGTGCACTAATTTGACTTTGAGCTGCTTTGGCAGTTGTGCGGGCAGCCAGAGCGAGAAAGAGAGCGATGGAGAGAGAGGGAGAGAGAGAGAAAGAGATGGTGTGTGTTGGGGTAGCTGGCTTTGGCTGGCATCGCTTCGCTTGTCGTTTGTTTTATTAACATGGCAACTCAAGTTCCATGGCGCGCTCCATGGGCCTGTGCAGAGTCGGCAGAGTCGGCAGAGTCGAGCTAGTTAGCCACTCAAAACTGGCCATTACTCATATGTGGCAGGCGGTAGGGCGATATCGGCTCGAATGCAGGAATATGTGTGGCAGCGGGCAGCAACGTTGGCTGACAATTAATCACTTTGTCATACGCCCACGCCCCCAGGCGCCCCACAAGCGCCCTCGCCCTCGCCCTCRCCCGGCTCACCCCGTCAATCATTAATTTATCATGTGCACTTAGCACGAAAATTGCGCCAACTACAAATTCAGAAACAACGCCCGCTCTACAGTACTCACCCGCTATCATTGTCTGCCTATCTCTGACTCTGTGTGTGTGTGTGCGTATGTGTGTGTACGTACATACATGTGTGTGTTTGTTTTGTGTAGCAGGTGCAGTGACCAGTGTCCCATGTCCTTTTGTTTGGCTCGACCGTGGCTCGGTCTGCTGCTTTTTCTACTACGTTTCATTTACGATGTTGCTGTTGACATGTGACGCCGGCCGGCTGGGCTGTCCGGGCTAGCCTTGTCATGCAATCCATAGCACTAACCAAACCAAACCAAACCAATCAAATTGACATTCTCGTCCTCTGGCCCCACTGTAATTACCGCACAGTGGTCTGCCGCTGTATGCCGCCTGACAGCGCGTGGGCGTGGCCCAGAAATATGCATTTAATACTTAAAAACTACAAATTAATTGCTCCAACACTTTGCCACCATGACGATATTTACACAAAAATTAAAAATTAATAACGCTGAACGCAGAGCGCAGAGCGCGTGGCTAGAGCGCAGCAAACACGCTCGGAATTCCTTTCATTTCGCTTTATTTTTCAATGTGCTTTTTGATTAAATTTTAATTGTGTACTTTGCATTGCGCAAACACCAAATAATTTATACATACACACGCACACACACACACATGTTTAAAAGTGCATAATGGAATTTGGATTGCTCGGTTTAAGCGTTTATGGGAAAATTTCTTTGATTTTTCGCTGCATATTTTGTTTATTTATTTTCTTTTGACTTTTAACGCTATTAACTACAACTCTTTTCTCATTTCTGTTTTCCTTTTTTCTGGTTTCATTGCAGGTAAGTTGAAACGATGTTTTATGCTATGGGTAAGCGATACGACAATTAACCGGGCTTAAAAGCTTTAATGCAAAGCGAACTGGACGTTGGCTGAATGAAACGAGTGAATTGTATGCAAGTATGAATGTTGTTGGAAATGGAAACTCTGCATGCTCTATGAGTTCAATTTGTATATGTCTTATATACCTGATCAGCTCAGCATAAGCTCTCTGCATATAGAGATGTCTTAGTGTTCGTCGGTGTTTCTCTCTTTTCTATAACACCTTGCTAGGCCTAAGTGGCTCCAATACACTAGCACTTTCTGATCGAGTGAGCATCAAAGGCTGCTCTCCATTTAGAGCAACCTAATTCTGTTCGCCTATAAAACGACGACACTGCAGCCGAGCTCATTTAGTCGTATAGCTGACCTTCACTTACTCAGTCGAGCAGCAGTGCCAGGCTCTTCTTTGCTAATGGGTAAATATTTAATAAGCTTCATATATTTTATTTTAAATTTTATTTTATTTTTTTAATTTAATTTTATTATATTTTATATGATAAATATATACCATATAAATGTAAATAGATTCCAAATTTAATTTGATGATTTTGTTGAAAGTACTCATTATTATTATTCAAAAAATTATTAATGATGTTCATTATGATTATGATTTAAATGAATCTTTATACAAACAAAAAAGTCAACATCGACTTAAAGATGATCATGGTAACTATGTAATTTATAAACATTATAATAAGGATCAAGACTCAAGATAATAATTATAATTATGACTTTTAGAGTTAGTAGAACCTAGCAAAACCTCAGCTATTAAATCAGAAGACAGCTAAAGTTAATATTTGATGAGTTTGTTGTAATGTAATTTCAATTAGACAAATCTTTGCTCATTATAAAAAATAATGAAAAATAATCCTGAATTTAAATTTAAATATTTCCTACTGTTCATTATTGCTATTCAACTGTAAACCTAACTTTTTAACAACCGTGAAATGTAAAAATAATCAACAACAATAATTGGAAAGAGAAAAAACCTTTTTAAATCGTGTCGCGTCAGACGTGTTCGGTGTCATGTCTTTAGCAGCTCCCAAGTTGTCGTCTCTATTATCTTATGCAGGCCATGGCAGGTGAAGCCAGCGCACCGCCGACAAGACCACATTGTCAGAGCTTACACTTGCCACAGTCACACGCACACACAGCCACACACACACATACACGGAGTCTTACAGTCGCATTTGTTGATGTCGAAAAATGCAATTTTTAAATTTCCATTAATTTCGCGCTGTCGACTTTTGTAAAATGTCACTTGTGAATTCAAAACGTTGCCATTGAAGGTACTCGCACAGCGTATGGACGTGGCAGCGCATGCTTGTTATTGTTGTGCGGGCTGTGGAAAATGCAAGCGACCAGCAGCAGCAGCAGCAGCAGCAACAGCAACAACAATGCTGCCAACGAGGCGTATAACTTGCCCAGGTGAAGGCTGTAGAAGATGTCCCATCTAAGTGACTGACTGACTGACTGATGTGTGTATCAGTGTGAGTATGCGTGTGTGTGTGTGTGCGTGGAGTGGCTGCTGTGGCACCTGCAACTGCACTTGCCAGGCCCCAGCCAGACAGCCAGCCTCCAGGCAGCATCAACTAACAAACGATTCTTTCTTTCTTTTCCTATTCGCTGTTTTTTTATTTTTTTTCTGTTCCTTTTTAATGACATACACGAACAAGGCGTGGACTTGAGTCTGCAAGAACACTTATGCACACCCTCAGCAGCCACCGCCTCCCATGGCACGCCCACTTGGTAGCGCTGTTAGGTGGCCATATGATAGGGTCTTCCGTCAAGGAGCGTGGTACTATTTTAGTCGCCTTCACTTGATGCTGAACAAGCGAACTTACACGACAACGTGACATTTAATTCAAAATGGCTTTGGTGTTTTTTCTTTTTTTTCTCTTGCCTTCACTGCTTGTTAACAGAGAGGGAGAAAAAAAAACTGGTTGAGTGTGCGCAGGGGAAGGGGGGACTTCTTGTGAACAACTGTGATAACTTTCCGCTTTTAAAAAAAAAAAAAAAAAAAAAAAAACGCATGAGGCATGAATATTTGTGGCCTTTGGCATATAAACGGACAGCGAAACCGAACAAATTACCATCTAATGAAATACGTAATCGAACTATCAATTGGATAGTTGCATTATGCAATGCAGCAGCTGCATCAGCTATTCGCAATAATTATAGTTAAAGTAAATACAGCCTTGTACATTTCTAAAAAGACGAAACTTGAATTTAATCAACCAAACATGAAAATGTATAAATAGACTGGAGACAGTTCACGGTTATTCGTCGGGCTCGTCATCGTCTTCGCCGCCTTCGCCGGGGCCCGCTTCGCCGCCTTCTTCCTCCTCGACCATCTCCTCGGATGAGCTGACCTCCTCGATGGGCTCGATTTCGGAGGCCAAGTCCTCCTCGTAATCACTGATTGCGGCCAGATCCTCCATGCACTTGTCGTAGTTCTCATCGAAGCGTATGGTCTCATTAAGCGAAGCCACCTCCACATCCTGGTCGGGTGGCAACAGCATGGGCGCCGTGCCCGGTGGGCATTCGGTGATATTGCGTATACGCAGCGTGTGTATGTGAAAGATGGCCGAACGATTCGATTCGAGCAGTATCTGGTGGAAGACGCTCAGCAGGCGATCGATGTTGCCAAACATGCGCACCGAGGCACTCTTCGGATCGTCGCCCTCCTCGAGTATGCGGCCGACAATGTGATGGCGATAGGGATCCATTAGATAGATGAAGTCGCCCTTCTTCCACAGCGAATACATCTGATTGTTGATCTGGAAGATGAGGTAATCGTTCTCCTCAATTGCCTTCTCCAGCATCAAATGGAAGTCGTTGTACTTGTACATCGGCACACATTTCCACCAGCCCTCGTACACGTTCGGGGTGAGCATCACCTCGGCCACGAATTGGCCCATGCGCACTTGGCGCGGGAACGTGTCCAGGTCCATTGGCTGATTGATATCCGTGCAGGGCTCCCAGCAGTTCTTGCACATGTTGACGCCATAGCAGAGCACTTTATCATAGTTCTTCATGTCCCACGTGGCCGGATGATCGATCTTGGAGGCCAACGCCGTGGCCACAGCCACGGGCAGGGCGCTGCGATTGCGCAGCGCATCCTTTGGGTTTAGAGTCAAGTGCAGATTCGACTTCAGATAGCCATAGTCGGAGGCAATCACATCGAACTCGCTCATCCGTGGCCCGAACTCACGCTCCTGGCTGCGTCCCTGCGGCCCGGGCGTCACCAGGCGCACCACCAGCATGTCGCGCAGCGTGAACTTGGCCGATCTATCCAGATTGCACTCCTCGCGAATTAGATGCAGGACATTGTCAATGGAGCGCATGGCCAGTATAATTGGAAAGCCGCCGTCCTGGTTTTGTTTCAGCGTATCCTTGTCACGTCCATTCAGATCGAGCACCAACCACACGCCCGCATCCTTCCATATCAGCAAATATGTAGTGCCCGACAAGAAGATGCCGATTTTGTGCTTCTTATAGAATGTGGATAGAATACGTCGGATATTTTTGATTTTACTCTTGAGGCCGTACACCTCGAAGGGTGCATCCAGCTCGACAGCAAACTCAATCTCATTAATTTTGAAGTGCCTTGTGACCATCTGCTCGTTGTTGTCATAGACCTCTGGATACCGATTGGCGTTGGGCTCCTCCATGCCCTCCGAGTCGCTGAACAGCACCTGGCCCTCGGCCACGACCTGATCGATCAGTTCCGGTGTCCACTCGTTGCGCCTGGTAAAGTATGTGGCCGTAAATGCTTTCAGAATGCCAGCGTATCGTATTGATTCCGCATTCGGTACGCCGGACTTTGTAGGCACCAGCCCGTATACGATGCCCAATGGAGAGCCCAAGGACTTGTCATGAAACTCACGATTCAGAGCCTTGCACTCCTTAGGATCGAAGGGTCGCACATAGGGCTCATCGTGTATGCCGTAAATGCGACAATGCTCATGGCAGCACGGATCCCGTTCATAGTAACGCACTGATCTCGAGAACCTGAAAGCAGACAAAGAGATTGTACATGAGACTCGATAGAAAATGGAGTGGCTCCTCCAGTCTTTGCTCACGTCGGCTCACAGCGTATGGGCTTCGGCGGGGGGCAGCAGCAGTCGCCTCCCTTCATTCGCTTTTTACTGCTCATTTCGTAGACTTAACTTTGAAAATTTTATGCTTTTCGCCAATTAGAAAACATCAACAAATTTTTAGCATCATCAGCAGCTTGTGTGAGAACTAAATGAGTGTAAATGAAAAATGTAGAGTAATTCAAAAAGATTTGTAGGTAAAGGCCTAGCTGATGGAATTCTGGAGTGAAAAGTAGTGATGGTATTATTATTAAATTTTTTTTTAATTTATTATTCTTATTAATTTTATTTT